GGGAGGGGGGAGCTGGTCCCCAGTCCTGCACCAGGAGCAGCCCAAGGGCTGTCGGGGCCTCAGGGGAAGCTGCTGCACTGGGGCATGTGGGGCAGGTGCTGGCGTGTCCCTGTCAGCCCTTCCCCTTTATCAGTGTCCCCTTTGTTAGCCTTTCCCCTGGAATGCTGCAGGGATGGTGGTGCTGAAGGAGATGGGAGAGGGTCCTCTGGGTGAGGGAGCATCACCCTTCCCTCCCACATATGGCATCCCTTCCCTCCACATCTGGGCATCCCCTGCCTCCCACATCTGCCTTCCTCTGGCAGCCAGGGAATGCCAGGAGCCTGGAGCAGACCGTGGAAAGGAGGTCCCAAGGTCTCATGCCACCCTCACTGCCAGCCAAGGGTTTTGAGTGTCCCAGTGACTACGGGGTACATAGGGCCACAGCCCCTCCAGAACCCTCCAGGCATCCACAAGAGCTGGGAATTGGGGTGGCCACAGTACCCAGGGGTGGCTGCAGTGTCCCAGAGGTGACTGTGCTGTCCAGGGATACCCTTGGTGGCCCAGGTCTGGCACTAAGGTCTCAAAAGTGGCCATGGTGTCCTGATACTGGCTGTGGTGTCCCAGGGATGGCTGCAGTACCCAAAGCCAACCAGATTTCACACCATATCCCCATACACACCATATCCCCATACACACCATATCCCCATACACACCATATCCCCATACACACCATATCCCCATACACACCATATCCCCCATACACACCATATCACCATACACACCATATCCCCCCATACACACCATATCCCCCATACACACCATATCCCCCCATACACACCATATCCCCCATACACACCATATCACCCCATACACACCATATCCCCCATACACACCATATCACCCCATACACACCATATCCCCATACACACCATATCACCCCATACACACCATATCCCCATACACACCATATCACCATACACACCATATCCCCCATACACACCACATCCCCCATACACACCATATCCCCATACACACCATATCCCCCATACACACCATATCCCCCGTACACAGAGGGGGCTCAGGGCTGTGCTCTGCAGGCTCCTGTGGGGTGGTCACCCCACAGTGTCCCTCCCCAGGCATCCCCAGCCTGGCTGAGGTGGCCACAATGAGGGTTCACTGTGCCCTCAGCCCCAGCACCCCAGGAGCCGTCCTGAGGGTCAGCCCCGAGGCCACTGCCACCACTAGGACACTCTGACCCTGTGCTGACACCTGTGGGCAAGGGACTGTCCTCATGTGTCACCCTGCCTCCCTGGCACCCTGCCCCGCCTGGCGCTGTGTCCCTGCGTGTCACTCTGACCATACATGTCACCTCACCCTCCCTAGGTCACTGTGTCCCTACAGGTCACCCCAGCTGACATGGCATGCTGTTGTGTCCCTACAGGTCACCCACCTGACATGGCACGCTGTTGTGTCCCTACAGGTCACCCCACCTGACATGGCACGCTGTCCTCGCCCGTCACACTGTCCCTGCTCCTGAAATGTCCCCTCTGTCTCTCTGCCACGTCTCATGCCCTGCCTGTATTGTAAATGTAGGTGAACTCGCTGGGAAGAAATAATGGTGTTTGATAATAATGCTGCTTGATTCTAATTTAGAAGGTTGAATGATTTCTTTACTATAACTATACTATAATACTTTAATATATCATTTAAAGGAGATACTAAACTACATACTTACTTTTTCTACCTACTATATTTAACTAATTAACAACGTGTGAATTTCTCTGAGAGTCCAGAGACAGGTGGATTGGATTTGCCATCACCAGAATCTAATTAAACAATCACCCCAGGTAAGCAATTCTCTAAACACATTCCACCTACGAAAAACAAGGAGCAGAAATAGAAATTGTTTTCTCTTTCTTTCTCTCTGTGCACCTCTATGAAAAATCCTGAAAGAGAGAGAAATGTTCTTGCCACACCAACAAATTCTTCCACAGCCCCTGCTGTCCCCCCATCCCGTTCTCTACCTCCTCCATCTTTCCATCACTCCCTTCCTCCCTCTCCACAACATCTCCATCCCCTCATTATCCCTCCACTGCCTCACTGCACCCCCCATTGCCCCCTCTATCCTTCCTCCATCCTCCTCTATTGTCCCCTCCATTTGTCACCCTCCTGTCACCTCCATGGGTCCATCCCCCTGCATCATCCCTGTCATCCTCCCTCCATCCCTCCTTCCATCACTGCTGCATCCCCACTCCCACCCTTCCTCTCCTGGGATTTCCATCCCCCTTCACTCTCCCCATCCTCTTCTCCATCCTCCTCTTGCCCCCTCCATTGTTCCTCCATCCCAATTCCATCTCCCCTCCATCCCTTTTGCATCTCCCTCCCACTTTCGTCCCTCACACCCTCCTTGGTCCCCTGGTCCCCCTCCATGGCTGGGGCTGTGCCTTTGGGGAGGGAACTGTCCCTGCCTGGAAGCTCCTCCTGGAGCTGGAGGACTTGGATAGTGCCAGGCAGGCCTGTGTATGGCAGCAAATACCCTCATTAATTGATTATGGGATAATCTCTGGTTCCAGGGAAGGAACGGGTGGCTGCTCAGACTCGATTAACCACAAGAATGTTTAATCTCCCCCCGCAGCCCCGTAAGGCACCAGGATTATTCCCACTGGGATGCACCAGCCATGCCTGGTTGCGAGGGGACACAGAGCCTGGGACAGCTCAGGGACCCCCAGACTCCACAGGGTGACCCTGCCCTGGCCCCACAGGGATGGGATGGGATAGGGGATTATCCCTGAGCTGGCTGCCAGGTCTGAGAAAAGAGCTCTGACCCGGTCAGAGTGCTGGGACTGGGCATCCCCTGCTTCTCCTGCCTCTGTCCTGCATCCTGTATCCCACATCCCTGATCCCCCATCACAGACCCTGCACCCTGCTTCCCTCATCCCAGTCCTGTATCCCACATCCCAGTCCTGTATCCCACATCCCTGATCCCCCATCACAGACCCTGCACCCTGCTTCCCTCATCCCTGATCCCCCATCACGGACCCTGCACCCTGCTTCCCTCATCCCTGATCCCCCATCACAGACCCTGCACCCTGTTTCCCTCATCCCAGTCCTGTATCCTGTATCCCACATCCCTGATCCCCTATCACAGACCCTGCACCCTGCTTCCCTCATCCCAGTCCTGTATCCCTCATCCCTGATCCCCCATCACAGACCCTGCACCCTGTTTCCCTCATCCCTGATCCCCCATCACGGACCCTGCACCCTGCTTCCCTCATCCCTGATCCCCCATCACAGACCCTGCACCCTGTTTCCCTCATCCCAGTCCTGTATCCTGTATCCCACATCCCTGATCCCCCATCACAGACCCTGCACCCTGCTTCCCTCATCGCAGTCCTGCATCCTGCATCCCACATCCTGCATTCCACAAAAGTACTCTCCATCACACATGCAAATCCTGCATCCTTCATCCCACATCCAGATCCCACATCCCGGTTCTGCATTCCAGTCCAGCATCCCAGTCCTACATTCCAATCCTTTGTCCTGCATGCCAGTCCTGTATCCTTCATCCCATATCCCAGTCCTGTGCCATTCCTGCATTTGTGATCCCATATCCCAATCCTGCATTCTGTATCCTAATCCTGCATCCCAGCCCTGCCCGGCAGACCCGTATCCTCCATCCTCCATCCTAATCCCGCATTCCAACGCTGCATCCTTCATCCCACATCCTGATCCCACATCCTGGTCCTGCATTCCAGTCCAGCATCCCAGTCCTACATTCCAATCCTTTGTTGTACGTCCCAGTCCTGTATCCTTCATCCCATATCCCAGTCCTGTGCCATTCTTGCATTTGTGATCCCATATCCCAATCCTGCATTCTGTATCCTAATCCTGTGTCCCAGCCCTGCCCGGCAGACCCGTAACCTCCATCCTACGTCCTAATGTCCTGATCCCACATCCCAGTTCTGCATTCCAGTCCTACATTTCAATCCTTTATCCTACATGCCAGTCCTGTATCCTTCATCCCATACCCCAGTCCTGCATCCTGCATGCCATTCCTGCATTTGTGATCCCATATCCCAATCCTGCATTCCATATCCTATATCCTAATCCTGCATCCCAGCCCTGCCCGGCAGACCCGTAGCCTTCATTTTATGTCCTAATGTCCTAATCCCGCATTCCAACGCTGCATCCCAATCCCACATCCCGGTCCTGCATTCCAGTCCAGCATCCCAGTCCTACATTCCAATCCTTTGTCCTACATGCCAGTCCTGTATCCTTCATCCCATATCCCAGTCCTGTGCCATTCCTGCATTTGTAATCCCATATCCCAATCCTGCATTCCACCGCCGCATCCCGATCCCACATCCCGGTTCGTCATTCCAGTCCAGCATCCCAATCCTACATTCCAATCCTTTGTTGTACGTCCCAGTCCTGTATCCTTCATCCCATATCTCATGCCTGCATTGTGCATGCCATTCCTGCATTTGCGATCCCATATCCCAATCCTGCATTCTGTATCCTAATCCTGTGTCCCAGCCCTGCCCGGCAGACCCGTATCCTCCATCCTCCATCCTCCATCCTAATCCCGCATTCCACCGCCGCATCCCGCTGCCACACGCCGCTTCTGCGTTCCACTGCAGCATCCCAGCGCTGCATCCTCCGTTCCACAGCCCGATCCCCGCATCCCGAGCCCGGCCGCGGCACAAAGGCCGCACTACATCTCCCGGCGTGCCCGGGGGGTGGGTGCCGGTCGCGGGAGCGCGCTCGGGGGACGCGGCCGCGGGAGCGCGCTCGGGGGGCGCGGGCGCTCGGGGGGCGCGCACCAATCGCGGCGCGGCCGCGCCCGCCCCGCCCGCCCCATCCCCGCACCGGGCGGGGCGCAGCGGCCGCGCTGCCATGAGCGAGCGCCCGGCGGGGCCGCCCCGCCGCGCCCCGGCCGCCCGCGCCCCCCGCCCCGGCTCCGCCCCGGCCCCGCTCCCGGGCTCAGCCCCGGGGGTGCCGCGGGGGCGGCGCGGCTGAGCCCCCCAGCCCCGCTGCGCCGCCGGCCCCGCCCGCCCGCCGCCATGGCCGGTAAGCCCCGCAGCGGCTGCGAGGCGCTCCGGGTGGTGGCCCGGTGCCGGCCCATGAGCCGGCGGGAGGAGGCGGCGGGATACGAGCGCGTCCTGGAGCTGGACGTGAAGCTGGGCCAGGTGAGCATCCGCAACCCCCGCGCCGCCCCCGGGGAGCTGCCCAAGACCTTCACCTTCGACGCCGTGTACGACGCCAGCTCCAAGCAGGCCGACCTCTACGATGAGACGGTGCGGCCGCTCATCGACTCGGTGCTGCAGGGCTTCAACGGCACCGTCTTCGCCTACGGGCAGACCGGCACCGGCAAGACCTACACCATGCAGGGCGCCTGGGCGGAGCCCGAGAAGCGCGGCATCATCCCCAGCGCCTTCGAGCACATCTTCACCCACATCTCCCGCTCGCAGAACCAGCAGTACCTGGTGAGGGCCTCGTACCTGGAGATCTACCAGGAGGAGATCAGGGACCTCCTCGCCAAGGACCAGAGCAAGAAGCTGGAGCTGAAGGAGAACCCCGAGACCGGGGTGTACATCAAGGACCTCTCCTCCTTCGTGACCAAGAACGTCAAGGAGATCGAGCACGTGATGAACCTGGGCAGCCAGACGCGCTCCGTGGGCAGCACCAACATGAACGAGCACAGCTCGCGCTCCCACGCCATCTTCCTGATCACCATCGAGTGCAGCGAGACGGGGCCGGACGGCGAGGAGCACATCCGCGTGGGCAAGCTCAACCTCGTGGACCTGGCCGGCAGCGAGCGCCAGAACAAAATGGGCGCCCACGGAGAGCGGCCCAAGGAAGCCTCCAAGATCAACCTCTCCCTCTCGGCCCTGGGCAACGTCATCTCGGCGCTGGTGGACGGCCGGAGCACGCACATCCCCTACCGGGACTCCAAGCTCACCCGCCTGCTGCAGGACTCCCTCGGGGGCAACGCCAAGACAATCATGGTGGCCACCTTGGGCCCGGCCTCCCACAGCTACGACGAGAGCCTCTCCACCCTCAGGTTCGCCAACAGGGCCAAGAACATCAAGAACAAGCCCCGGGTGAACGAGGACCCCAAGGACACCTTGCTGCGGGAGTTCCAGGAGGAGATCGTGCGGCTGAAGGCCCAGCTGGAGAAACGCGGGATGCTGGGCAAGAAGAGGAGGAGGAGCAGCCGGAGGAAGAAAGCAGTGGATGGAGAGGGCACCGTGGACAATGAAGGGGAGGACGAGAATGAGGATGGCCTGGAGAAGACCATGGAGAATTACTTGAAGGAGCAGAAGGAGAGGCTGGAAGAGGAGAAAGCCGCTATCCAGGATGACCACAGCCTGGTGAGCGAGGAGAAGCAGAAGCTGCTCCAGGAGAAGGAGAAGATGATAGAGGACCTGCGGAAGGAGCAGGAGGCCACGGAGCTGCTGGCCATCAAGTACAAGGTTCGTGTTGCCACCCATGGTGACAGACGGGGTCGGGGTACCTGCTGTGCCCTCATCCCCTTGTGTGGAGTGGGAATGGATCCCAAGCAGGGAGCCAGGGGGAGGTGCCCGCCGCCGTGCCCAGCAAGGGCACCTCCCCAGCGAGGTGTCCAGGCAGGGTCCCCAAGGGCAGCCCCAGCCTCTGGCGTGGGGCTGGGGCTGGGGCGGCCCTCGGGCCTGCGTGGAGACCTCTGTGGGAGCTACAGGGGTGGGAGGGTCACTGGTGGCACGGCGTGCTCAGCTCTTGTCCCTTTCGGCACAACAAAGCAGCTTGTGTGGGAAGGGGGAGTGATGAGAGTGATGCTGCAGATTCCTCCCTGGTGGCCTTGGGAGTGAGCCCAGGGCTGGGGCTGCCCCCACCTGCCCCCAGTTCTGTGCAGCCCCTCCCCACCCCAAATCCTTCCTGGCACCCCAAGCCACAGCAGGGTGGATGGGGGCTCCACCACTGGCTCAGGGATGCTCAGGGTGAGAGGGGCCACGGCAGCCCCAGCTCACCTCCCCCTGCCCCAGCCCTGCTCCTGACCCCACTGAGCTGTGGGGTCCTGCCCTCTGCCCATGGTGGCCATGGGGCTGGGACCACAGTGCCAGCAGTGGGGAGGGAGTCCCAGCACCCTGACCCTTGGCATCACACCCAGCACAGCCCCACTGGCACAGCCCCTCTGCCACCACGCTGGCCTGGATGCGGGGACTGGGCTGGAGCCCAGGCAGGGGGGGATCCCTCTGTGGGGAGGACATGCCCGGGGTGCCAGGGCTGGGCAGGGGTCTGGACCCTCTTCCATGGCCAGGGTGATGTTTGTTGCAGCCCCAGGGACGCGTGGCCGTGCCCAGGGATGTGTGATCGTGCCCAGGGATGTGTGATGGTGCCCAGGGATGTGTGATCGTGCCCAGGGATGTTTGATTGTGCCCAGGGATGTTTGATTGTGCCCAGGGATGTGTGATCGTGCCCAGGGATGTGTGATCGTGCCCAGGGATGCGTGGCCATGCCTAGATGCCTGCACAGAGCCCGTGGGACCCCACTGGGACGTGCCACTGGGGCAGAGCCGTGGGCTGCTGGCTGGCACAGCGGCTGTCCCGTGGTGGCTGTCCCGTGACAAGTGTCCTGGCAGAGCAGGACGCCTGGCACGGGGTCTCTGCAGCCATCCCCCCGTGGCTGTGGGGTGCAGGCTGTGGGGTGCAGGCTGTGGGGCACAGGCTGCCCAGCACAGTCTCCCTGCCTGGCTCAGCAGGGCTGGCTCAGGGCCACTGTGTGTCCTGGAACTGCTGAGTAACAAGGCAGGGCCGGAGGCGAGGTGATACCGTGTCCCTTTTGGTGGCCTTCGGTGCTGCTCTGCACACAGGGACCCTCTGGCTGTGGGGGTACAGAACAGTGACAGCAGAGAGGTGTCACCTCAGCGAGCACAAACCCCCTGTGCCAGAGGGGCACAGCCTGCTGTGACACCCACCCCAGCGGGCACTGCCCGTGGGACACCGTGGGGACACTGGGTGGGTGCTCGTGGGCAGCTTTGGCACAAGTGGGGCTGGGCATGGAGCCACTGCTCCGTAGTGACCATGGCAAACACGGCTGAGGTGACAGGGGGACACCAGGTGCCTCCCACACCCACGGGTGACACGCTGTACCCCGTCTTGGTGTCACACTCGTGGGTGTGGGCTCTGCCTCTGCCACCCAGCTGGGATGTGTGGGGCATTGAGCTCAGAGAGGTGGGGTCAGCCTGCCCCAGATGTGCTTCTGGGCGCCCAGATGTGCTTCTGGGTGCCCAGATGTGCTCCTGGGTGCTGGTGGCACAGCTGTGGGGTGCTCCTGGGTGCTGCTGGCACCGCTGTGGGGTGCCCCTGGGTGCTGCTGGCACAGCTGTTGGGTGCCCCTGGGTGCTGCTGGCTGCTGGCACAGCTGTGGGGTGCCCCTGGGTGCTGGGGGCTGCTGGCACAGCTGTGGGGTGCCCCTGGGTGCTGGGTGCTGCTGGCACACCTGTGGGGTGTCCCTGGGTGCTGCTGGCACAGCTGTGGGGTGCCCCTGGGCGCTGCTGGCACCGCTGTGGGGTGCCCCTGGGTGCTGGTGGCACAGCTGTGGGGTGTCCCCTGGGTGCTGGTGGCACAGCTGTGGGGTGCCCCTGGGGCTGCTGGCACAGCTATGGGGTGTCCCCTGGGTGCTGGCACAGCTGTGGGGTGCCCCTGGGTGCTGCTGGCACAGCTGTGGGGTGCCCCTGGGTGCTGGTGGCACAGCTGTGGGGTGCCCTTGGGTGCTGACAGAGCTGTGGGGTGCCCCTGGGTGCTGCTGGCACCACTCAGTGAGACCCCTGCCCCAGGGACGTGTGACAGCAGCACCGTGACCACCATGTGTGCCCCCCGGTGCTGGCACCACCCTTGGGTGGCCTGGTGACCCCCCTGCCCCTCAGGGCCATGCCAGTGAGGGGGGCCAGAGGGACCTCGGGGGCAGGGGCTCAGTGGGTGAGGTGGCCACGAGCTGGTGGCACAGGGGACACTTCAGAGCTGGTGGCAGAGCTGTCCCTGTGGCTGGGAGATGGATTTTTGTGGGGGTGTCCCGGGGACATCCGGGTCTGTCCTGCAGCTGTGGGGGCACAGGGTGTCCCCCTGCTTGTCACCCACGGACACCCTGGCATGGGAGGAGGGCAGGAGTGCGCAGACATGGTGTGCATACACACACACACACAGTGTGCACACACACACACACACAGTGTGCAGACACACAGGCACACACACACACAGTGTGCACAGACACACACACAGTGTGCACAGACACACAGACACAGTGTGCACAGACACACACACAGTGTGCACAGACACACAGACACAGTGTGCACAGACACACACAGACACAGTGTGCACACACACACACACAGTGTGCACAGACACACAGACACACAGACACACACAGTGTGCACACACACACACACAGTGTGCACAGACACACAGACAGTGTGCACAGACACACACACAGTGTGCACAGACACACAGACACACACAGACACACACACAGTGTGCACAGACACACAGACACACACAGACACACACAGACACACACAGTGTGCACAGACACACACACACAGTGTGCACAGACACAAAGACAGTGTGCACAGACACACACACACAGTGTGCACACACACACAGACACACAGTGTGCACACACACACAGTGTGCACAGACACACAGACACACAGTGTGCACAGACACACAGACACACAGTGTGCACAGACACACAGACACAGTGTGCACAGACACACAGACACACAGTGTGCACACACACACAGACACAGTGTGCACAGACACACAGACACACACAGACACACACAGACACACACAGTGTGCACACACACACAGTGTGCACAGACACACAGACACACAGTGTGCACAGACACACACACACAGTGTGCACACACACACAGACACACAGTGTGCACACACACACAGTGTGCACAGACACACAGACACACAGTGTGCACAGACACACAGACACAGTGTGCACAGACACACAGACACACAGTGTGCACAGACACACAGACACAGTGTGCACAGACACACAGTGTGCACAGACACACAGACAGTGTGCACAGACACACACAGTGTGCACACACACACACACAGTGTGCACAGACACACAGACAGTGTGCAGGTACACACACAGTGTGCACACACACACACAGTGTGCACAGACACACACAGTGTGCATACACATGGTGTGCTTATACACACATACACACAGCATGTATACACACAGTGTGCACATACACACGGTGTGCATACGCACACACAGACATACAGACAGTGCACGTATACACATACAGTGTGCACACATACACACACGGTGTGCTTACACACACATACACAGAGTGCACATGTACACACAGTGCACACACAGGGTGTGCATACACACACAGAGACATACAGACAGTGCACGTATACACATACAGTGTGCACACATACACACACGGTGTGCTTACACACACAGACACACAGACAGAGTGCACGTATACACACAGGGTGTGCACACACACACAACGTGGACATACACACACAATGTATACGCACAGGGTGTGCATACATACACATAAACACACAGACAGCACGTATACACACCGTGTGCACACACACATCGTGTGCATACACACACCTACATACAGAGTGCATGTATACACACGGTGTGCAGACACACACACACATGGTGTGTATACACGCACATACACAGAGACATACAGACAGCACGTATATACACAGTGTGCACATACACACACGTTATGCACATACACACCCAGAGTGCATGCACATACATCCACACACGTTATGCACATACACAGAGTGTGTGCACATGCACACACACACAGTGTGCACAGACACCTGGTGCTCCCATGTGTGCCCATGTTGGTGTGAACAGGATGTGCTCCCTTTGTGCGTGTGTTTTGCATTTCTGTGTGCACAGCTTCTGTGTGTGTGTATTTGTGTGTTTATGTGTGTGTTTGTGTATGTTTCTGTGTGTGTTTGTGTGTATTTCTCTGTGTGTTTGTGTATTTTTGTGTGTTTGTGTATTTCTGTGTGTATGTGCATTTCTGTGTGTTTGTGTATTTCTGTGTGTGTTTGTGTATTTTTGTGTGTGTTTGTGCATTTCTGTGTGTGTTTGTGTGTATTTCTGTGTGTGTTTCTGTATTTCTCTGTGTGTTTGTGCTCGGAGCAGCCCTTCAAGGATCACCCAGCCCACCCTGCCAGCACTGCCCAGGCCACCGTGTCCCCTGTCCCCAAGTGCCACATCCACAGGGCCTTGGAACCCCTCCAGGGATGGGGAATCCACCCTGCCTGGGCAGCTGTGCCAGGGCAGGACAGCCCTTTCCAGGTGGGAATTGTTCCCTGCCAGGGCAGGACAGCCCTTTCCAGTGGGAATTGTTCCCTGCCAGGGCAGGACAGCCTTTTCCAGTGGGAATTGTTCCCTGCCAGGGCAGGACAGCCCTTTCCAGTGGGAATTGTTCCCTGCCAGGGCAGGACAGCCCTTTCCAGGTGGGAATTGTTCCCTGCCAGGGCAGGACAGCCCTTTCCAGTGGGAATTGTTCCCTGCCAGGGCAGGACAGCCTTTTCCAGTGGGAATTGTTCCCTGCCAGGGCAGGACAGCCCTTTCCAGTGGGAATTGTTCCCTGCCAGGGCAGGACAGCCCTTTCCAGGTGGGAATTGTTCCCAATATCCAATCTAATCGTGCACAGTCTCCTCCCTGTCAGCAGGGCTCTGAGCAGAGGGGCACTGAACACTCCCACCTCCCTGAGAGCAGGGATGGGGACAGGGGGCAGGGATGGGGACAGGGATCAGGGATGGGGACAAGGGGCAGGGATGGGGACAGGGATCAGGGATGGGGACAGGGATCAGGGATGGGGACAAGGGGCAGGGATGGGGACAGGGATCAGGGATGGCAGTGACCACAGGGATCAGGGATGGGGACAGGGATCAGGGATGGTCGTGACCACCAGGGATCAGGGGTGGGGACATGGATCAGGGGTAGGGGTGACCACAGGGATCAGGGATGGGGACAGGAATCAGGGATGGTCGTGACCACCAGGGATCAGGGGTAGGGACCGGGATCAGGAATGGGGGTGACCACAGGAATGAGGGATGGGGGTGACCACAGGGGTCAGGGGTGGGGACAGGGATCAGGAATGGCAGTGACCACCAGGGATCAGGGCTGGGGACATGGATCAGGGATGGGGACAGGGATCAGGGGTGGGGGTGACCACAGGGATCAGGGGTAGGGACAGGGATCAGGGATGGGGACAGGGATCAGGGGTGGGGACAGGGGTCAGGGATGGGGGTGACCACCAGGGATGGGGACAGGGGACAGGGCTGGGGAATGGGATCAGGGATGGGGACAGGGATCAGGGATGGGGACAGGGATCAGGGGTGGGGACAGGGATCAGGGATGGGGACAGGGGGCAGGGATGGGGACAAGGGACAGGGCTGGGGACAGGAATCAGGGATGGGGGTGACCACCAGGGATGGGGACAGGGATTAGGGGTGGGGACAAGGGGCAGGGATGAGGACAGGGGTCAGGGATAGGGGTGACCACAGGGATCAGGGGTGATGCTCACCACCCAGTGAGGGTGGCGTGAGGCAAAGCCCGTGCATGGGGTTGGGGATCCCTGCCCTGCCCCCCTGCCCTGACCCTCTGTCCCCTGCAGGCCATGGAGAGCAAGCTGCTGATCGGGGGCAGGACCATCGTGGACCACACCAACGAGCAGCAGAAGATGCTGGAGCTGAGGCGGCAGGAGATCGCTGAGCAGGTGCCAGGGGGTGCCAGGGGGTGCCAGGGGTGTCCTGGGCCCACTCCCCGTGCCCGTCCCGCTCCCAACCGTGTCCCTGCCCCTCAGAAACGCCGGGAACGCGAGATGCAGCAGGAGATGCTGCTGAGGGACGAGGAGACCATGGAGCTGCGCGAGACCTACACGTCCCTGCAGCAGGAGGTGGAGATCAAAACCAAGAAGCTGAAGAAGGTGAGAGCACGGCAGGGACAGGGACAGGGAGGAGCAGGTCCCTCCCAGGGCTGCCCAGCCCCGGGGCAGGGCTGAGGTGCTGTTCCCCCCAGCTCTACGCCAAGCTCCAGGCTGTGAAGGCCGAGATCCAGGACCAGCACGACGAGTACATCCGAGTCCGCCAGGACCTGGAGGAGGCCCAGAACGAGCAGACGCGGGAGCTGAAGCTCAAGTAGGTGTTGTGGGGGGCTTGGGGGTCCCCTGGCCTGGTGGCCCTGAAGAAATGGGTGTGCAGAGCAGGGTTGGGGGGCTCAGAGCAGCGTTGGGGGCCTCAGAGCAGGGCACAGGGCAGGGTTGGGGGACTCAGAGCAGGGCTCAGAGCAGGGCTGGGGGGCTCAGAGCAGGGTTGGGGGGCTCAGAGCAGGGTTGGGGGGCTCAGAGCAGCGTTGGGGGGCTCAGAGCAGGGCACGGGGCAGGGTTGGGGGGCTCAGAGCAAGGCTCAGGCAAGGTTGGGGGACTCAGAACAGGGTTGGGGGGTTCAGAGCAGGGCTCGGGCTCAGAGCAAGGTTGGGGAGCTCAGAGCAGGGCTCAGAGCAGGGCTCAGAGCAGGGCTGGGGGGCTCAGAGCAGGGCACAGGGCAGGGCTGGGGGGCTCAGAGCAGGGTTGGGGGGATCAGAGCAGGGTTGGGGAGCTCAGACCAAGGCTCAGGCAAGGTTGGGGTACTCAGAGCATTGCTGGGGGGCTCAGAGCAGCGTTGGGGGGCTCAGAGCAGGGTTGATGTGCTCAGAGCAAGGTTGGGGGGCTCAGAGCAGGGTTGGGGGGCTCAGAGCAGGGTTGGGGGGCTCAGAGCAGGGTTGGGGGCTCAGAGCAGGGTTGGGGGGCTCAGAGCAGGGTACAGGGCAGGGTTGGGGGGCTCAGAGCAGGGCTCAGAGCAAGGTTAGGGTGCTCAGAGCAGGGTTTGGGGGGCTCAGAACAGGGTTGGGGAGCTCAGACCAAGGCTCAGGCAAGGTTGGGGGACTCAGAGCAGGGTTGGAGTGCTCAGAGCAGGGTTGGGGGGTTCAGAGCAGGGTTGGAGAGTTCAGAGCAGGGCTCAGGGGCTCAGAGCAGGGTACAGGGCAGGGTTGGGGGGGATCAGAGCAGGGCTCAGAGCAAGGTTAGGGTGCTCAGAGCAGGGTTGGGGGGGCTCAGAGCAGGGCACAGGGCAGGGCTGGGGGGCTCAGAGCAGGGTTGAGGGGCTCAGAGCAGCGTTGGGGGGCTCAGAGCAGGGTTGGGGAGCTCAGAGCAGGGTTGGGGGTCTCAGAGGCTCGGAGTGGGTGCAGAACTGGAGGGATTGACCCCAGCCAGAGACAGGGACAGCCGAGCCCTGCCCGGCTGTCAGCGGTGGCACAAGGTGTGGGCACTGGGAGCTGTGACCCTGCCCAGCTGTCAGCGGTGGCACAAGGTGTGGGCACTGGGAGCTGTGCGCTGGGTGAGCAGCACAGAGGGTGTCCAAGAGTTGCCAAGAAAGTGGAAAAACCAGAAAATATTCCAGCAAAAACCCTGGCTGAGGCTGAACCTGGAGGGTGGCCGGGGGCAAGTGACCCCTGAGGGCACCTGGTGACCTGCTCTGGCCTCAGAGGGACAGCAGCTCTGGGGACTCGGGGTGACCCCCTCTCCCTGGAGCTCCTGGCTGCCTGGCAGAGTTTTCCCTCCGGGAGCCTCCCACAGCCCCCGGGGGTTTGTTCTCACTTCAAACACTCCTCTCTTCCAGCGTCTGTGCCCCCCCAGCTATTTACAAGCACTAAAACAGTTTCACTACAAACAGAATTCCATCTCCGGCTTTGCCCCTTCTCTCCTCCGACCAGCCACAGCTCACTGATGCAACTCGTTGCCTCAAAACACTTTTTGACAGCTGCTCGACTCGCCCAAAAAACACAGGAGCAAAGATTCCCTCTTGGCATTGTTGAGCTTCCCTTGATTTCCAGGAAGGAGAGGAGGGAAGGGCCCTGGTCCTGCCTGGAGCCCCACAGCTCCTGGGCTCCTCTCTGGTGCCTGTCCTCTCCTGCCTCTCCCCTCTCCGTGGCTGCATCTACTGCTTCCACCTCTCCCCTTCCATCACATTTTCATCCTCCGGATGTTTCCTCTCCCTGCGATGTCTCTCCTTCTCTTCCTGCCTTTCCTCTCCCTTTCCCGCCTGTTTTCTGTCTGCTGTCACATGAACCCCGTCCTCTCCTGCTCCCTCAGGTACTTGATCATCGAGAACTTCATCCCTCCCGAGGAGAAGAACAAGATCATGAACCGCCTGTACTTCGACGGCGATGAGGACCAGTGGAAATTCCAGCCGCTGGTTCCCAGCGGAGGGTACGTCTGTGTCCCCGTCCCTGTCCCCGGGGTACAATCCCTGTCCCTGTCAGTGCTCAGCGGGCCCCAGGGCTGGGGGACTCCTGCAGGTGGCCACGGGTGGGACTGTCCCCAAGGCCAGCCCCGTGGCAGGGTCACCCTTCCCTCGCCGGCGCGGCGCTGCGGGCTCACGTCCCCGCTCCCTGTGCCCAGGAACAGCTCCCAGATGAAGCGGCGCCCGACCTCGGCCGTGGGCTACAAGAGGCCCATCAGCCAGTACGCCCGGGTGGCCATGGCCAGGAGATCCCACCCCCGATTCCGGGTACGTGGGGACACCGCTGAGGGACAGCGCTGGGACGGTGTGCGGGAAATGCGGTGGGTGGGTGGGTGGGTGGGTGGATGAGGGATGGATGGATGATGGATGGATGGATCCATGGATGGATGGATGATGGATGGATGGATGGATCCATGGATGGATGGATGATGGATGGATGGATGGATGGATGATGGATGGATGGATGATGGATGGATGATGGATGGATGATGGATGGATGGATGGATGGATGGATGGATGGATGGATGGATGGATGGATGATGGATGGATGATGGATGGATGGATGGATGATGGATGGATGGATGGATGGATGATGGATGGATGGATGGATGGATGGATGGATGGATGGATGATGGATGATTGATGATGGATGATGGATGGATGATGGATGATGGATGGATGGATGATGGATGGATGGGTGGATGGATGGATGATGGATGGGTGGATGGATGGATGGATGGATGGATGGATGGATGGATGGATGGATGATGGATGGATGATGGATGGATGGATGATGGATGGATGGATGGATGGATCCATGGATGGATGGATGGATGGATGGATGGATGGATCCATGGAGGGATGGGTGGATGGATGTCTATGGATGGACCCGTGGATGGATGTGGATGGATGTGTGGATGTCTGTGAATGTCTGGATGGAAGGACAGATGGATGGATCCATGGATCCATGGAGGGATGGATGGATGGATATGTAGATGGATGTCTATGGATGGACCCATGGGTGGATGTGGATGGATGTGTGGATGTCTGTGAGTATCTGGATGGGTGGGTGTATGGATGGATGGATGGATGGATGGATGGATGGATGGATGGATGGACGGACAGATGGATGGATCCATGGAGGGATGGATGGATGGATATGTGGATGGATGTCTATGGATGTGGATGGATGTGTGGATGTCTGTGAATGTCTGGATGGAAGGATGGATGGATGGATGGATGGATGGATGGATGGATGGATGGATGGATCCATGGAGGGATGGATGGATGGTATGTGGATGGATGTCTATGGATGTGGATGGATGTGTGGATGTCTGTGAATATCTGGATGGGTGGGTGTATGGATGGAGCTGATTGGAGAGCTGGAGGTGGATGGATGAAGGCAGATGGTGACTGGATGGGTGCAGGGATGGATAACACGGGGAGAGAAGATGGAGTGAACAAGCTGACGAGGATCTGGGCTACACCAATTCAAGCTCCAGGCTTTATCCTCCCAGCTCCTGGCTCTCCAGCCATTGGAGAGGACAGAGCTGCTCAGCGCTGGGACAGCCAGAGCAGGGCCTTGAGCCCACAGCACAGCACCAGGGCAGCCAGGAGAGGCTCCCACTCCCCCGGCAGCAGAGCTGCAGCCGTGTTCTCCCCACGCTGACTCCGTGCTGGCCGTCCCTGTGCCCTGGGCAGGCTGAGAACATCATGTTCCTGGAGCTGGACCTGTCCCCCCCGGCCATCTTTGAGTTGGAGCGCAGCAGGGACGCGGCGGAGCAGGACCCGCGGGCGCTGCACCTGGAGAGGCTGATGCACCTGGACAGTCTCCTGGAGCGGCCGGCGGCCTCCCGCCTGCGCAAGTCCCGCTCCTGGTGAGCCACACGGCGCGGGGACACGGCCGGGGGGGACAGGGGGGGACAGGGGACCCGGGGCAGGCAGAGATGGGAAGGCCCCGTCCCGTTGGGGCTGGAAATGCTGCTGAGGCTGTGCTGGGGAGCAGCTCTGAGCAGGAGGGACCTGGAGCTGCTGCAGAGAGCCCAGAGGAGCCCCCAGAGCTGCTGCAGGGCTGGAGCCGGGCTGGGAGAGCTGGGGGGGCTCACCTGGAGAGGAGAAGGATCCAGGCAGAGCTCAGAGCCCCTGGCAGGGCCTGGAGGGGATCCAGGGAGAGCTCAGAGCCCCTGGCAGGGCCTGGAGGGGATCCAGGGAAGGCTCAGAGCCCCTGGCAGGACCTGGAGAGGCTCCAGGAGAGCTGCAGAGGGACTGGGGACAAGGGACAGAGGGACAGGACGCAGGGAATGGCTCCCAGTGCCAGAGGGCAGGGCTGGGTGGGATATTGGGAATTGGGAATTGTTCCCTGGCAGGGTGGGCAGGCCCTGGCAGCTGTGGCTGCTCCTGGACCCCTGGCAGTGCCTAAGGCCAGGTTGGACAGGGCTTGGAGCAGCCTGGGGCAGTGGGAGGTGTCTCTGCCATGGCAGGGGTGGCACTGGATGAATTGTAAGCTCTCCCCAACCCAAACCATTCCACGATTCCATGATATTCCTACATCCCAGACCCAAGGTACCCTCCCACCCAGCAAGGGGGGTGCACAGCAAAGGAGCAGGGAAAGAGCTGGATTTTGGGCAGGGTGGGAAGGCAGGGCAGGGCAGGGCAGCAGCCCCAGAGTGTCTCTGTGTCCCCAGGTGCCAGACGCCGCGGTCGCTGCCATCCTCCAGCACCCACATGTCCCTGGCCTCCAGCTCCCCATGTGCCACCCCTCTGCCAGGCCAGCAGTGACCTGCACGGGCACCTCGACCCGGACTGAGCCCCCGAGGGCCGAGGGGGGCCCGGCCCAGCGCCCATCCCTGTCCTCAGCTCCTTTGTGTGTGTTTGTGCCGGACACGGAACCACGGAACGGCCCCGGGCCAGGGCGGCTGCCCCTCCCTCCCTCCCCCTCTCCCTTCTCCATCCCCCTCCCTCCCTCCCTCCCTTCCTCCCTCCCTCCCTCCTTCCCTCCCTCCCTCCCCCTCCCTCCGCCCCCCTGATCTGATCTGTCACTTTATTTATTTAACCTATTTATTTATGGAGCGGGTGACGCGCGGAGGCGGGACTCGTGCTCGGACTGATGGACATCCAGGCTGGCACTGGGCACCGTGCTGACCCGCCCAGGTTTGCCCAGCTCCAGCCCTCCCCACACTGCCCTGGCACTGGGCTGGGTATGGGGACATTGCCCTGGCACCGGTCTGGGCACAGGGACACCGCCCTGGCACCGGGCTGGGCACAGGGACACTGCCCTGGCACCGGGCTGGGTATGGGGACATCGGTCTGGGCATGGGGACACCACCCTGGCACCAGTCTGGGTATGGGGACACTGCCCTGGCACCGGGATGGGTATGGGGACACCGCCCTGGCACCGGGCTGGGCATGGGGACACCGGTTTGGGTATGGGGACACCGCCCTGGCACCGGGCTGGGCACAGGGACACCGCCCTGGCACCGGGCTGGGTATGGGGACATCGGTCTGGGCATGGGGACACCACCCTGGCACCAGTCTGGGTATGGGGACACTGCCCTGGCACCGGGATGGGTATGGGGACACCGCCCTGGCACCGGGCTGGGCATGGGGACACCGGTTTGGGTATGGGGACACCGCCCTGGCACCGGGCTGGGTATGGAGACACCGGTCTGGGCACGGGGACACTGCCCTGGTACCGGGCTGGGCACGGGGACACAGCCCTGGCACCGGGCTGGGTATGGGGACACCGCCCTGGCACCGGTCTGGGCACAGGGACACCGATCTGGGCACGGGGACACCGCCCTGGCACCGGGCTGGGCATGGGGACACCGGTCTGGGCACAGGGACACCGCCCTGGCACCGGGCTGGGCACGGGGACACTGCCCTGGCACCGGGCTGGGCACAGGGACACCGGTCTGGGTATGAGGACACCGCCCTGGTACCGGGCTGGCACAGGCTCCATCTACCACGGAGATGTGGGACAAGGAGGTGACACCCGGGGCAGCGGTGGCATCGCTGTCCCCTGGACGTGGCACACGGAGGTCACCTCTGTCACCTCCTGGTTGGGACAGAATTCTGGTGGGTTGTGGAGGAGCGATGTGGGGTGGTGGTGGGTGAGAGGGGGAGGCCCAGGACTGTGGGGTCGAGCCCTGCCCCAGCAGCTGTGGGAGCGCTCGGTGTTCTGCAAAGGTGGTGAAAACCCATCCTGGTGGTGCCACCAGCAGCTCTGCTGTCCCTGGGCTGGTGGGGCTGGGGACATCCCTGTCCTTCAGGAGATCCTTGTGCTGAGGGAGCCAGCCCTGGCTCTCCTGGCTCAGCAGACAGGGGGGACAGCTCAGAGAGTGGGGAATGTCCTCTGGCAGCGAGGAGAATTCCTTCACAGGGTGGATGAGGCTGGAAGGGACCCTGGAGCTCATCCAGTCCCTGGGTTTCTCAGGGATGTGTCCAGGTGGGTTTGGAATCTCCCCAGGGAAGGAGACTCCAGCACTGCTCTGGGCAGGCTGCTCCCCTCAGGACAGGGGTGAGGGAGCAAGGCACGGGCCTGGGATGGGTTCATCCAGAGGGAACCAGGAGCTGTGCTGAGCTCAGAGCCGGGCAGGGCCCTCAGCAGCCGTGTCCCATCCACACGTGGCTGTGCTGGGCCCTCCCCATCCCTGCACTGCCACAGGGATCTTCTCACATTGCCCTGCCTCGAGTCTCCATCAGTGCCCTCTGCCCCACCCTTCCTGTGCCATCTGTGCCCCACAACACCCTCTGTCCCTCCAGAACCTCTGTCCCCTTCTCCCCCTGCCTGGGGCACCTTGGCAGAGCTGCAGGAGTGACAGCAGGGTCCCTTCCATGCTGTGGGGTCAGCTCTGGCCACAGGGTGCCCCAGGGCATCCCCCAGAGCGAACCGGCCCTGTGGAACCATCCTGGGCCCGTGGAACCATCCCGGGCCTGTGGAACCATCCCGGGCCTGTGGAACCATCCCGGGCCTGTGGAACCATCCCAGCTGGACAGGGCTCTTGGAGCAGCCTGGGACAGTGGAAATGTCCCTACCCAGGGCAGGGGTGGCCCTGGATGGGCTTTAAATCCCTTCCAGCCTGTGATTCCCTGATTCTGTGGAACACAGTGGCTGGGAGAGCTGGTTCGTTATTTAATTTCCTGGAAAGCATCTGGGAGTCGGGGTCAGGAAGCACAGACTCAATGAGGAGAAGCTTGGGGGACCTGCAGGAATAGAATTTCCTCCCTTTGCTGTTTTCCCAGTTCCCCTTCCGTGGATCAGCAGCTCCTGTAGCCCCAAAGTGATGAACCAGTGACCTTCTCTGGCCTCCCTTGTCACCCAGGGTGGGGAAAGAACTCAGGAGCTGAGGGTGCTGTGCCCAGGAGGGGTGGCTGTGCCCAGGAGGGGTGGCTGTGGTCACAGAGGGATCCCCTGGAAGCAGAGCTGGGACCCTTCCAGCACCCCGGGGCCGCTCCTGAGCCTCCCTTGCCCGGTGGCGTTCGGTGTCCGTGTGTCCCCGGGGACCAGGGGCTGGGCCGGGGCTTCCTTTTGTTGTTGTTGAACTGTTCTTTTGGGGTTCAGGTTTGGCCGTTTTTCGGCGGGGAGGGGGGTGTGGGTCCGTTCCGGGTTCATGGACAAGGCGAGGGCCTCGATTAGGACCAAATTTTCGTGCCTGTTGCTCTGGTGATTTATTTAGAAATCAAAAGTTGACTGTCTGGTGGCCCATCCTTGTCACTCTATACATAGGAATATACAGGACATATTATAAATATATATATATTATACATAGTGGCTGGAGAGGCCGTTCCTGGCGGGATGGACGCTCCTCGCTGGGCGGTAACACAATAAAGGAATGAATAAAGGAATGGATAAAGGGATGAATAAAGGAATGAATGAATAAAGGAATGAATAAAGGAATGAGCAGCACTGCCCGCGCCTCCGCAGCCTCCTTGGCCCGGAGGGGGAGTGAGGCTTCCTTCCCCCGGGATTTCCTCCGAGATTCGGTTCCTCCGGGCCGGGAGCTCCAGCTCAGCGACACGGACACCGGGAAGGGACCAGGAACAGCCGCGGGCATCCCACGGACACGGCGGGGTGGGACGGGAAAGGGGATGGGAGAGGTGGGAATAGGAGAGATGGGAGAGATGGGGAAGGAGAGATGGGAAAGGGGAGATGGGAGAGATGGGAAAGGGAGATGGGAAAGGGAGATGGGAAAGGGGAGATGGGAAAGGGAGAGATGGGAAAGGGGAGATGGGAAAGGGAGATGGGAAATGGGAGATGGGAAAGGAGAGATGGGAAAGGAGAGATGGGAGAGATGGGAAAGGGAGAGATGGGAAAGGGAGATGGGAAAGGGAGAGATGGAAAAGGGAGAGATGGGAAAGGGAGAAATGGGAAAGGGGAGATGGGAAAGGGGAGATGGAAAAGGGAGAGATGGAAAAGGGAGAGATGGAAAAGGGGGAACTGGAAAAGCAGATCTGGAAAAGGGGAGGGGGCCAGGAGGGTTTGGACAGCGCTGCCAGGGGTGCCCAGGGTGGGATTTGGGGGTCTGGGCAGGGGCAGGGGCTGCACTGGATGATCCCTGTGGGTCCCTTCCAGCTCAGGATATTCCATGATTCCTGTTGCTAAAGCAGTGCTGAAGTTTATTATCATCTTTGCAAAGTGCTCTGGGATTTATTGGTCACAAAGAATTCCTAAAGGACAAATGTTTTCACTCCTGAGTGGTTTTCACAGCACGGGGGGGAGCCACAGCCACCAGGAATGTTCCGTGTGCACTTCCCAAGAGAGAAGCTGTGTGGGAAGCCTTTGGTGCAGGAGGGTTTGGGGATTATTTGGGGGTTTTTTGTTGTTCCCTGACGCTCTCATGACACCCTGTGGGCTTCCCCCTGTACTACTGCAGCTGCAGAAACAAGAATTCCACTCTTGTCCTCCCCCGTGGCTCTTCACTTCTGCCCCTGCATTTTTCTCAGTGAATGTTTTCCCAAATGACAGCAGCAGAGTCAGTGTTAGGGATCTGACTGATATATTGGGTTTTAGCTTTTTATTTTATTCAGATTTTGTGCTGCTTTGGTCTGTGGGTCTGGCTTCACATGAGGGATGCTGAGCTCTCTGCACAGAGCAGGGAGGCAAAACAATTCCTGCTCCAGCTGGGCACCAAGGACAAATGATCCAAATCTCAGCCCAGGAGCACAAACAGCGTGGAATGAAGAGAGAAAAAAGAAAAAAAAAGAAGGATGGGACTTCATGGGCTGGAGCTTTGGTTGGACAATTACCTCCAAATGGACAAAATGGACAAAACTTATAAAAATGCTCATGACCAAACCTGTGGCATTGACATTCTCTGGACAGACAGACACAGTTCTGTCTCTCAGGAGAAGCACAGGGAGAAGAAGAGAAAACAATCTTTACCTCTGCTCCTTTGTTTCGCCCATGTGGAATGTGGTTGGAGATCGTTCACCTGCAGTGATGGCTGGGTGGGATTCTGGTGAAGTTGTTTGGGGTCAGTGACCAATGGATCCAGCTGTGTTGGGCTCTCAGCAGCTGAGTTGGATTCTGGTGAAGTTGTTTGGGGTCAGTGACCAATGGATCCAGCTGTGTTGGGCTCTCAGCAGCTGGGTTGGATTCTGGTGAAGTTTTTTGGGGTCAGTGACCAATGGATCCAGCTGTGGGTTGGATTCTGGTGAAGGTTTTTTGGGGTCAGTGACCAATGGATCCAGCTGTGGCTCGGGCTCTCAGCAGCTGGGTTGGATTCTGGTGAAGGTTTTTTGGGGTCAGTGACCAATGGATCCAGCTGTGGCTCGGGCTCTCAGCAGCTGGATTGGATTCTGGTGAAGGTTTTTTGGGGTCAGTGACCAATGGATGCAGCTGTGTTGGGCTCTCAGCAGCTGGGTTGGATTCTGGTGAAGGTTTTTTGGGGTCAGTGACCAATGGATGCAGCTGTGTTGGGCTCTCAGCAGCTGGATTGGATTCTGGTGAAGGTTTTTTGGGGTCAGTGAGCAATGGATCCAGCTGTGGCTCGGGCTCTCAGCAGCTGGATTGGATTCTGGTGAAGGATTTTGGGTCAGTGACCAATGGATCCAGCTGTGTTGGGCTCTCAGCACAGAGTCACGAGTTTGTAGTTCGACAGGTAAGTAAGAAATAAGTATGTAGAATAGGAAAGTATCTCTTTAAACAGTATATTAATGCAATATAGTATAGTTTCAATAAAACTATCCTTCAACCTTCTGATCTGGAGCAGACATCAGCATTTCTTCCCTGAGTTGGGGTCACCGTTTTTTCTGTACAAACCCTCTTTTGCTTCCCTCTTTTGCTCTGGTGCTGCCAGGGTGTGGCTCTTCAGTAAAAATCCATTTATTTCTGTTAAATCAGTCCAGCCTCTGTTCCATCCCTGCAGCTCAGCAGGTTCATTGCAGGGGGAATAAACGGGATGGAGCCTCCAGGTGGGTATCAGAGACGTGGAACGGCACAGAAACGTGGAATGGTTGTTGGAAGGGAGCTCAGAGCTCACCCAGTGCCACCCCTGCCCTGGCAGGGACACAGCCCCTCTGGCTGGGTGCCCACTGGAATGTTTTCAGGTGGCACCCTGCCTGAGCTGTCAGGAGAACCAGGACTGATGAGCTTTGCTTTTTATTGTCTTCTAATTGTCCTAACTCTGAATTTTATTACTCTAATTGTATGCGAAAAGTGCATATTTTATGATTGGCTTTTTGCACATATTACAATGAATATATTGTATGTGTAATGTTAGAAAGCTATGCTGTAATAATTCTCTTAAATAATGTGTCAAATATAGTTTTAGGTTCCAAAATAACATTAAAATAGAGATTATGTATGTGGGGGGAGCTTTTTTTTTTAGAATGAGATACTCACTTGAAAGAACACCTAAATGTTCCAAAGAAAAAGAATTTATAGTTTTCTTATCAGAAGAAGCTAATTTCTTCAGGCCTTGCTCAGACTTGAAGATTAAAGGAAACAGTTGATATACAACGGACAGAGTTTCTTGTTTTAAATAGAATGTATGAATAACCATGAAAAATATATGAATATGCAACAAGTATATTGTTTTAAGGTTATTCCTTTGTTCACAAGGGATGCTTTTTGTGACTTAGTGTCCGAGAGCATCTGGACGTCCGTAAATCTTTGCTTTTTATTGTCTTGTAATTGTCCTAACTCTAAACTTTATTACTCTAATTGTATTTTTATTTTTATAACCATTTTATTATTATTATTAAACTTTTAAAATTTTAAAAATCAAGTGATTGGCGTTTTTCACACCGATCATCGCCCAGGCTGATGATGGGGTTGTGAATGACCTGGGATGGATCTCATGGAAATCCTCGGGCAGATCCATGTGAATGCAGCATTCCTGTAAATTCCATCAAGGGATTCACCAACTCCAGACACGGAATTGTTCTTCCTCATCACCAAAAAAAGGAAATCTTATTAACATATGGACTCTGAATAGAAGAAAAGACTGATTACTAAAATCTTTGCTTCAGGCGGAATTTTCCTTATAAAAACCGCTTGTGCCAGGGTGGAGGTGTGAAAACCTCTGCTGAGGCTGACTCCTTGTCGCACACCCAGGGCCGACCCCGGGCTCGGCTCTGTTCTTTCCTTTTGGCTAGCTGGATAGAATTTGACTGCAAAATAACTATTTTACCTTTTCACGTTAATTCGGCTGGACAAATTTTCATTTATAACAGATATAATGGAAATCCTCGGGCAGATCCATGTGAATGCAGCATTCCCGTAAACTTCATCAGGGGATTCACCAACTCCAGACATGGAATTGTTCTTCCTCATCACCAAAAAAAGGAAATCTTATTAACATATGGACTCTGAATAGAAGAAAAGACTGATTACTGAAATCTTTGCTTCAGGCGGAATTTTCCCTATAAAAACCGCTTGTACCAGAATGGAGGTGTGTGGGCATGGAGGAAACCTCTGCTGAGGCTCCTTGTCGCACACCCAGGGCCGACCCCGGGCTCGGCTCTGTTCTTTCCTTGTGGCTGGCTAGATAGAATTTGACTGCAAAATAAATATTTTACCTTTTCATTTTAATTCGGCTGGACAAATTTTCATTTATAACACCGCGGAGGCGGCGGGGACCGCGCTGCGAGGGCGCGGCCGCGGCTCTGAGGGAGCCGCCGCCATCTTTCCCCCTCCGCCACCGCGGCAGCGCCGGCCGCGAGAGCATCCGCCGAGCGCCGAGGAGGGAGCGGAGGCTGCCGGTGGCACTCGGTGGCGGCGGCAGAGCGGAGCTGTTGCCGCTGAGAGCTGTCGTAAAGCGGGGACACACCGCCAGCAAAGCAAAACCTAAGGCACCCCCGCCGCCATCTTTGCTCCCCTCAGGCGCCGCCGCCATCTTTGTGTCCCCCCGAGAGGCGGGAACGCGGCCTGAGGGGAGGTGGGCGTGGCTAAACAAACCACGCCCCCGTGCTGTGGGCGGGACGGCGGGCGGGAGGGGTCACATGACCGCGGCCCGTGCGCAGCCCGAGCCAACATGGCGGCGGCGGCGGGCGCTGAGGGCGCCGCGCTCGGTGCCGCTCTCCTTTAGGGGCCGCCGCCCCCGCCCCGCCGCACAGCCCTCCCCGAGCCCCGCCGCGTCCGACATGAGGGAGAAGGGCCGCAAGAAGAAGGGCAGGACCTGGGCAGAGGCCGCCCGGACGGTGCGCGGGGGGGCGGCGGGGCGGGTCGGAGGCCGCGGGGCGGGCCGGGCGCTCCCGGGGGTGGCGGCGGGGCGGCCTCGGCCTCCGACCGGGCCCTGTGGAGCCGCGGGTGTGTTGTGACCGGTTGCTCCGTGTTTCCCGGCAGGGATTTCCACGGGAAGCGGTGTGGGGGAGGGATTGGCGCTTGGGTTTGCTCTGGAGAGAGGGGGGAAGGCACAGGCGCGGCCCGGTGAGCGGCACCGGGGATTTGCGGTGTTCGCGGTGCTGTGGCCGTGCCTTCCGTGCAGCTGGAGCCGGGCAGGTGCGAGCTGCTGGGTTGGCCCGGCTCAGGGAGAGCTGCACATGCTAAAAGGCGATTTTTACCTCCCGGTTTCCCGGCGGGACAGGGTTCCGTGCTGTCCCCTCGCCTGGCTGGCAGTCCCTGTGCGCGCCGGGCACGGAGGGTGGAGAAAAGGGAAGTTGGGAAGCGGGACAGGAATGAGAGAGGAAACGCCACAAGTGCGACCCTGCTGAAACTCGCCCTTCCCAGGTCGGAATAAATCCCCCTCACAGAGAGAGGGAGGAGCTGGGGTTCTGAGAACCCTCCTGGAAGAGGGATCTGTCCAAACAAGACTTGAAAAGTCTGGCTGGGAAGCAAATGTAAATAGAAACCTGCGGCTGAGACTTGCAAGAGATATTTTAATAAATAAATTCATGTGGACCTGGTGTTTAGAGCTTGAAAGGCATCAGAAGAGCTGCTGTGTTCAGGAGATGCAGTGCAGTTAGAGGTGTTTAAGAAATAACTTACCGGCTTGCAGGCACTTTGGTGTCGCTCTGCATGTGTTTTTGTGTATAAATTTTACAATTTCTTTCGAAAGAGCAGTGGCAGGGTCTCCAGTGGAGGGTAGAGGTGGGAGCAGCTCTTTTCCAGCCTCTGTGCACTGCTGTCCATCCTCTGAGCCCTTCCAGAATCCACCTAAGGGCTAAACCAGGTATTCTGCCCTCTCACCCCTGCAGGCTGCATGCTGCCCAGAGCCAGGGCACAGGCTGGCACAGGGAGGAAAGGATGGGCAAACCTGCCAAAACCCCGAATTTGGCACATCTGTGTGCCCAGCAGGAATGCCAGAGGGCTCTGGTCAAACTGCAGCTCCAGTCTCCCCGGGGTTTTGCTGAGTTTTGGGGCAGAAATCCTGGCTGGGGTTCTTGCTGTGTGCTGGGGGTTTGGAGGGAAGGTTGTACAGCCGTGCTAAGGAAGGTAAAAGCTCTCAGGTGCCTTGTCCTGCCTTTGGAAGGTGACATAAAACTGTCCCCAAGCTCAGGAGTGGCTCCAGGTGTCCCCTCTGTGTGGTGGTTCCCTCCCTGAGCTCTGAACTGGCTCTGGGGTGACCCCAAGAGTCGCTGGGCCTGGGGCTGTGCCTGTCACAGGATCAGAGTTGGGCAGCTTGGAAAATCCCTCCCAGCCCATCCAGTCCAGCTGTGCCCAGGGCTCTGAGTGCCACATCCAGGAATTCTCTGGACACCTCCAGGATGGGCACTCCACCCCTCCCTGGGCAGTGCCAAGGCCTGAGCGCCCTTTCCAGGCAGAAATTCCTGCTGCTGCCCACCCTGAGCCTGCCCTGGCCCAGCCTGAGCCCATTTCCCCGTGTCCTGTCCCTGTTCCCTGGAGCAGAGCCCGACCCGCCCTGGCTGTCCCCTCCTGTCAGGAGCTGTGCAGAGCCACAAGGTCCCCCCTGAGCCTCCTTTTCTCCAGGCTGAGCCCCTTCCCAGCTCCCCCAGCCCCTCCTGGGGCTCTGTTCCCTCCCCAGCTCCCTCAGCTGCTCCTCACAGAGCTGCCTCTCCAGGCAAGCTTGTCCTGGGAATCTCCCCAGCTCCCTGCAGGGCAGCCCCAGGTCATCCCAGCTGGATTTTCTGGGGCAGGTCTGTCCCTCTGTAGCCCCTGTGCCTCCTCTCCTGCTCTCTCACCTCTGCACTGCTGCTCACAGGTGGTTGAGGCAGCTAAACCAGCAAAACCATTGTTTTTTATAATTAACTGCTGGTGCTGATCTGCTCCACTTTCATCCTCCTGGCTGGGAGTTTGGGGTTAGGCGTCCTCCAGTTGTGGGGGGTCATGGCAATGCACCGAGGTAATTTATTCTTGGATTAACTGAATCCACTGGAGCAGCTCAGAGGGGAGACATGGCTGTGGGAGGAGGGAATTCCGTGGAAGTGCTGCTGTGGGGCTGCTCAGTGGGGCAGCAGAGCAGCAGGAGGTGAGGCCAGGCTCCCTGGGAGGGCAGGAAGTCACTGTTGATAAACAGCCCGTTCTCATTTCCTGCCTTGCTCTGCAGCTGCACAGAGCTGGGAGCTGCTGCCCGGGCTGGGACAGGGCCTGGGGTCCTTGCAGCTCCAAACCCACCTGCAGAGCTGCCCCATGCCCAGGTGTGCCCACCTGCAGAGCTGCCCCATGCCCAGGTGAGCCCACCTGCAGAGCTGCCCCAGCCCTGGGGATTCCAGCAGCACAAGGACCTGGAGCTGCTGCAGAGAGCCCAGAGGAGCCCCCAGAGCTGCTGCAGGGCTGGAGCCGGGCTGGGAGAGCTGGGGGGGCTCACCTGGAGAGGAGAAGGATCCAGGCAGAGCTCAGAGCCCCTGGCAGGGCCTGGAGGGGATCCAGGGAGAGCTCAGAGCCCCTGGCAGGGCCTTGAAGGGGATCCAGGGAGAGCTCAGAGCCCCTGGCAGGGCCTGGAGGGGATCCAGGAGAGCTGCAGAGGGACTGGGGACAAGGGACAGAGGGACAGGACCCAGGGAATGGCTCCCACTGCCAGAGGGCAGGGCTGGGTGGGAGATTGGGAATTGGGAATTGTTCCCTGGCAGGGTGGGCATGCCCTGGCACAGGGTGCCCACCCTGGATCCCTGGCAGTGCCCAAGGCCAGGCTGGACACTGGGAGCACTGGGACAGTGGAAGTGTCCCTGCCATGGCACTGGGTGAGCTGTAATTCCATGATTCCATGGGTCCAGCGGGACTGAGGTACCCTGGTTGCACTGCTGCCAGGACTGGGGTTTGCAGCACAGAGCTCTGTGGGGTGTTCTGGCTGCTCAGTCCTGGCATTGCTGCTCTTCCTGTCCCCGTGTTCAGCACCAGGGCAGAGCAGAGTGCTCCCTGCTGTCCCTGCTCTGCCCTGGTGGCTCTGTGCTGGTGCCACAGGGACCTGTCCCCACCCCATTCCTGGCTGGAAGCCCCAGAGAGGGGCAGCTGCTGCAGCCTGAGAGTGCCAGGATGGTTTAGGGGGAGGAAGGGACCTTCAACCTCACCCAGTGCCAGCCCTGCCATGGCAGGGACACCTCCACTGTCCCAGTGCTCCCAGCCCCAGTGTCCAACCTGGCCTTGGGCACTGCCAGGGATCCAGGGGCACCACAGCTCTCTGGGTGATGCCTTGGGAAGGCTGAGCTAGAGCAGAGGCTGGACAGAGCTAAAGGACAAAGCAGGGATTTATTAAAGGATTTATTAAAGGATCTCCTCCATGGATCCACCTTGGGCAGCACCAGAGCCCAGCCAGGGCTGCACCCAAATGCCCCAAAATGGCCCCAAAATGCACGAGCGCTCCCGGGGGCTCTCCCTGGGATCAGTTCTGCTCCATTGGCACCTTGGGGTTAATTGTCCAATTCCAGCCTTAGGTTATGAAGTCCCATCCCTGTTTTTCTCTCTTTATTCCACGGTGTTTGTGCTCCTGGGCTGAGATTTGGATCATTTGTCCTTGGTGCCCAGCTGGAGAAGGAATTGTTTTGTGTCCCTGCTCTGTGCAGAGAGCTCACCATCCCTCATGAAGCCCAGACCCACACACCAAAGCAGCACAGAATGTGAAAAACACAAAATCCAAAGCCTGAGGCATCATGGGCACCCTGTGCCTGCCCATCCTCCCAGCCAGCATCCCAGTATCCCATCCATCCCTGCCCTTCCTCCCGGTGTGCTCCTACTCCATCCCATGGAAATTCTCTCTCCATCTTTCCTGTTCTCCCCTTGGGGCCCTGCAATCCACACTGAGGTCACCCTGGTGCTTCCCTTCTGCAGAGAACAACCCCAGCCTGGTCTCCAGCAGAGCTGCTCCGTCCCTCTCATCACCTTGCTGCCTCCTCTGGACTTGCTGCACAGGTCACTCCTCCCTGACTGTTCCACGGGGAACATCTGGAGGCAGCTGTGGAGCACAGCTGGCTCCTCCTGGAGAACCTGCCGAGGGTTTTTCACTTCTCAGGGAGGTGTTGCACAAGGTGGTGCTGGACAAGGCTCAGAGATTAATCCCAGCTTGTGGGATGAGCTGATAGCTGGAGCTGGTCAAGGCTTCCTGTTTTTTTTCTGGAGGGGATTGTTTGTTGCTCTGTTGGGCTTTTTGGTGGTGCTCTGTTTTGTTTTTAGGATCCTGGGGATTATCACAGCTCCTTCCCTGTTCCAGGCTGTGGCCAGGGATGAATTTCCAAGGCAGAGACAGAGCTGAGGTGAGGGCTGCTCTGTCACAGCTGTAAAATGCCTTTGCAGAGGTTTCTGAAGGACAGGTTAGGTGGTGGCCACAGCTCTGGGGACTGAGGCGCTGTCTGGTGTCCTCCCAGAACGTGACACAGCTCTGTGTCTGCTGCCAGGGAATTACCTTGGCACTGCTTCCAGGGAAACAGGCTGGTGGCTGAGCAGGGCTTGGCACAGACCCTGTCACACGTCCGTGGAGAAGGGCACTTTGCTTCACTCCTCACTCACACACATCCCCAATCAGCTGCAGCTCTTGCATGTATTTTTCCTGATTTTTTTTTTTTCCAAGTTTTTTCTTGAGGATTTCTGTTCTGGGGGCAGCTCTGGGCCCCTCCTGCCAGGAGAGACCTGGAGGGGCTGGAGCGTGTCCAGGGAAGGGAACGGAGCCCCAGGAGGGGCTGGGGGAGCTGGGAAGGGGCTCAGCCTGGAGAAAAGGAGGCTCAGGGGGGACCTTGTGGCTCTGCACAGCTCCTGACAGGAGGGGACAGCCAGGGGGGTCGGGCTCTGCTCCAGGGAACAGGGACAGGAC